TCCAGATACTTTAAATGACACTTTATTGTGAACACATATTTTGCCATATTTGAGCAATTTTTGACTCCATCACTTTTTGCAGTGTAGAGTTAGCTTGTTTTGTTAACCCCTGTGTATTGTGTATTATTCCCAGTTGTTTGTCAATTTATTGTTTACGTCCGTGAGAGCTTCCTCCGCAGAGTGGCTGGGCGCTCCCTTAGAGATAGGGTGAGGAGCTCGGTCACACGGGAGGAGCTCGGAGTAGAGCCGCTGCTTCTTCACATCGAGAGGAACCAGTTGAGGTGGCTCGGGCATCTGTTCCGGATGCCTCCTGGACGCCTCCCTGGGGAGGTGTTCCGGGCACGTCCCACCGGGAGGAGGCCCCGCGGAAGACCTAGGACACGCTGGAGGGACTATGTATCTCAGCTGGCCTGGGAACGCATTGGGGTCCCCCCGGACGAGCTGGAGGAGGTGTGTGTGGATAGGGAAGTCTGGACGTCTCTGCTTAGACTGCTGCCCCCGCGACCCGGCAACGGATGAAGCGGAAGAAAATGGATGGATGGATGGATGGACCTCCCAGATATTAAATGATTTTTTTTACCATTTAACATCTCGGTTTTCTGTGACCGCCCTCGCCAGAGCTGAGTCTGGGATCGAAACACCCTCTCCCTACAACAGGCAGTAAAGTAGCGTCTAAAACATCTAGAATCCCGTTGTTTTTCCACCACCGCTCTGTTCCTACTATCCATCAGAAGCTGTTTGGTGCCTGCTCAACCAGACAGGCCTCAGATAACTACACGATAATGCTCTTTTAACCTGTCACTGGTCGTAATCTTATGGCTGCTGTTCGAACACCAACCCATTCACTCAACAACAATAACAAGAGCTGCTCTCGTTCTTTCTCCCTTTTGTTGTCTCCACCTCAATCACTCACGTCGTGCACGGAGTGGGCGTCCCGACGAGTCCATTCCACCCCCATTCCCCGCACTCACAAAAGGAGGATATTGATTTGCCCGCCATCAAGAGAGTGACAAAAGAGGCAGAGGAAATCAAAACATATCTATTTGAATGGTCCAAACGGAGGCCACTGAGGCTAAATACTGCTGTGAAAATGCAATAAGGGCGGCCATCTTTGTTGGAACATCTGACCATTGACAATTTCATACACAAAAGCGAGTCTGTACAATACGGCGGCTGATATTTAGAGCCGCTGTGGGGTTCGTATTGATCAAGTTTCATGTGTAAAGTCCATACCGTGCTGATTGATTGATTGGTATTGATCAGTTACAAAAGAAGAGAAAGAGATTTGGTGCATTCTAGAGGCAATTGGTTGGTAATTTCACACAATGATAAAGTAAAATGTATCTGCTTATTTTGCAATACTTTGTCAAAGAGTACATACTTGAACAAAGCTAGACATTGCATTACGGTTAAAGCTATTTGCATGCTTTAAAACGGCTAACCTCTGACGTTGCTATCCTGAGAGATCACCGGGAAAAGTTATGTTATAGAATTTTCTGGGTCAGAGAGTTTTTGCACAGTGCTGGAATTACGCCGTTGCGAGGATATGATATTTGTCGGTTAGTGAACTATGTACGGAGGTTATCTGCTTGAATGTCGATATAAGTGGAAAGCCTTAAGCGTTAGCGTCGACTTCATCTTGCCAGCTTCTTTACGTGACCATTTTCAATATTCCCAGTCATAATGTTTGCGAGGATGTGCTGGTATTACATGCCCTTGATCAAAAGTAACACAATGGCAGTGTATCACGAAGCATATTTCTTCAAGATTAACAATAGGAGACGTCTTCCATCAGTTCTACGCCGCTTCCTCTTCGACTCGACATGAAGCGGCGATGTCATGAGCACAATGCATTCGATTAAAGGGAAGCATGAATGGGTTCCAACTCTTCCATCCTGGTTGACAATATTTGAGACGTCTCTTTGTATATCAATCCATTCACAGACTTCTTCCTCCTGATCAGACTTTATCTACAGGGTCACACTTTTGTATATGACTATCAAAAATGTCATACGTGTGTGTAGAAATGCCTGTACTTAAAAGTCCCTACTCCCTAAAGCTCCATCTCCGCTTAAAAACACCAAGACCTTAGCATTTAGTTAGACCTGCTGCAAATTCATAAGAAAATTAGTCAATAATTCAAGTCACTGTATGCATAATACTGTTGTGGTTGTATCATTGAGGCACCAAACTTAAGCTAATTTCAATTCAAGTATGTGCGAGAAATGTTGAGATTGGTCAAGTTTGCCACCAGCGCTGTAGAGGCCGGAGGACGCAGCCTCGTTCTGTGATTGGAGGAGAGCGGACGTCACGCTAAGTCTCTACTCAGCACTTTTCACGGCTTGAATTCATACACAGCTGAATCAATGAGCCCATGCTTTCAATTAAATTACGGATTATAATACAACTTGTACGTAGTAATAAGCATTTTTATATGAAATCATTAGAAAATAAATTGGGTATAGCTTCTTTAATACAGAGACTCAATAATCAATACTATTTTACGGTTTGATCCTGACAGACTAAACTGAGCCTTTGCTTCTGACTCTTCGCAGGTGAGACCAGACCTGGAACACAGTGCACATCAGAGTATGTCTCTCCTCAGGGAACTGTCTCGTCCTCGGTCCTGTTCTCTCTGCACACCTCTGCTGCGCCTACTGTCACCTCCAAGGAACTGGTAATTGACTTCAGGAGTCGGAGAGATGGCTTGAGCCGACCCTTAACTTCCAGGCCATAGCTGTGCGACGTCAAACCTTTCCACAGGGAGGAACAGGAGGGCACTGTGTAGACGTCTCTCCGGCATGGACCATCCGACTTACCCCATTTCACCAGACAATAGAAGAAGAGAGCAGTCCTTTCTCCTCCAGCAGGTTCCCTTCCAGAGTGAAATTTAAAGGAGTACATTCCAACCACAACGCGCACAACTCTCGCCTTTGTCAGAGATAATCTTGGGTTATTTTAAGTTGTCCCTGTATGTTCTCGTTCTGAATCGTCTGCACAAAAGGCACTGTGATTGAATACTTAAACATGAACACTGTAATTGATCTGTTTGTACGGACAGATTTGTCACGCAATCTCACTCAATGTTCTCTATTGTAACTTATAATGTGTGTGCGCGACTGTAATTGTCTCATAAGGATCAATGGAAAGTTTGTCTGTTCAGAAAGAGTTTTTTGATTGTCGAGCACAGCGCTTATCCAACAAAACAAATCATGAAACAAGAAGCATATGCCACTCACTCAAATTCAAGATGTGGAGTAGATTTTACCACCACTTATCCATGATTGTGGAAGAAACCCCCAAATTCTTTTTCAAATAGGGACACTGCTCTTTCTCTCTGTGTAGAAACCACTAGAAAATCACAGTCTGAAGAGGAGTGACGTTTGTGAGTTCTCCTGGTGTCTGCGTAGGTTTCCTCCGGGTGCTCCGATGTCCCCTATCCCAGAGGTGGCCAACCAGTCAGAGACTAAGAGCCAATTTTTTTACTGTGTTACAGCAAAGAGTCACATCATACAAATGTGCACTACATAAACATCACCCCAACCCTTACACACGTGCGCACACACACACCTCTGCTTAGACAGATGTATTGTAAATGTCATCAACATGATAATGACAGAAATAGACTCGTACAGCACTAAAGGACTGGACTCGACTCTCCCCGGTTTGCGGGCTTTTCCACTGATCGCTTTAGCCGCTCCCCTGTACTTTTTATCAATGGTTTGGCCCTGGTTCTAACCGGGCGAGTCGATACCAGAACAATCTCACGTCAACGAACATCAATTATGATTCGGAAATGAAGGCTTTCAATCTCTAACCAAGAAAAAAAAATAGTTTCAACTCAATATTCAGCAGAAACACAACTGTCTTTATTGAATCATGATTCACTCTGACTGTGTTTAGTGAAAGATATAGATTTGACACATAACACCAGCACCACTTTAGCTGATTTAGAACCACAGACACATGTGCAGTATAAGACCGGATACTTTTGATTGAAGGCAGACACTCACCAGGCAGAGGCTTATCTCCCGGTGTAGCTGGTGTTAGCTGGTTTTAGCATTTCCGTAAATTTAATCCATTTGGTCAAACCACCTCCAGACTTTTCGGTTCTGCCTCTACTTCTGCTGCTGTGATCTTTCATTTCACGGTTGTCACTTTTTTACTTTTCTCTGCATTGTGATGTTCGTGGGAATCATTCTGCTCCGTCCTTAGAGCTAGCTCCACAAACACCTTCTGGTTTCTGGTGGAACCATCGAGCTCACGCTGGTGTCCTCTCCTCAAACTGACGAAGGTGTTGCCATCATTCAGCGACCAAGGAATTGTTTTCCGTATGGACGCCATGGGTCGAGGCAACCTGTTGTTTGTTATGATATTTGCAACAGCTCAGGCAGCAGCTGCAGAGTGACTGACCAATCAGAATTGACGTTCGCCGACGTCAGATTGTTTTGGCGGCCCGGCTAGTGGAGTGAAGTCGGCCTTTACTATGGGTCAGAACTACATAGAGAATGAATGGCAGCGCCACCACCGAGGCGTTTTTGACGCTTGTCGTGTGAAAGCCCAAGAGCCGCACGGAATCAGCCAAAGAGCCGCATGTGGCTCACGAGCCGCGGGTTGGCCACCCCTGAACTATCCCCACAAACCTGCACATTAGTTCGTAAGCTACAGCTCCTGACCAAACTCTCAACACTTGGGTCCATGGGCGCTGTACTACAGGGCCCACTGTTTCTGGCTACATCTGCAGGTGAAAGCCAGATCCCGTCAGACCTCTGAAGCCAAGCAGGGCAGGGCCAGGTTAGTACTGTGATGGGAGACCTCTGGGAACACCGGGCAGCACAGTGGGGTTGCTGTGAAGCGCCAAACTGTGGCTGTGGGCTTAGGAAAAGCTTACTTAAGCCCACCAGCCGCTCACAGATCTCTCCACAACAAGTCTGTACATAAACAAGACAACATATCGTTTTTGAGTTGAGTTTGTAAGATCGTTTTGCCGCCGCCGATCATCAAAACGCTTGGATCTGGTCGTGTGTTTTCTCCTGCAGCTGATTGCGAAGCCCCGAGCGCAGCCCCGGTCCTCCGCCACGTCCCCCGCCTGATTCAGATGGCAGAATTCATTACATTGAGCCATGAAACATAATTAAATTTGCAATTTTAAAAGTCGTTTTCTGGGGAAGACGGGTTGATTAAAACGACGCAGTCTCCACTCGAGCTGAATGGAGAAAAAGTTAAAAAAAATAACCACTGGGGAATGTCTGAATTCCTTTCAATTGCAATTGTCTGCATATACTTCTATTACATGTAGTGCATTCAAGACCAACAATTGAATGTATACAACAGGGGATCAATTAAAACTTGTATTAATGAAAGCGATAAAGAACATGCCTTGTCCTTATTTTAACCAAGCCTTTGTTCTAGCCCAGTTTGTTCTAGTAAGAGGGCAACTTTAGTAAACCAAGCTTATCCAGGGGCCAACAACTCAGACCATCATACTGTCTGTACTGGATTCAGACTGTTTTCATCTTCATAATTAACAGTGCGCTCTACTCTAAAAATGTAACTGGTAGCGGTTCCATTTTCCCAATCAGAGTCGAGTAGACTTGAGTAGGGCTGGTTGGCAAGGCACAGGACCATAAGCACTCACACATGGGCCGCATTTTGCCCGTGGGCCGTAGCTTGGAGAGGCCTGTTCTTGCACTTGTTGTATGCTTTGCCTGGAACGGGCTGAACTCAAATCAACGACAGGACAAAAACACTACATGGGCGGCACGGTGGCTGAGTGGATAGCACTCTCGCCTCTCAGCAAGAAGGTCCTGGGTTCGAATCCCGGTCGGACCAGGGCCTTTCTGAGTGGAGTTTGCATGTTCTCCCCGTGTCTGCGTAGGTTTCCGCCGGGTGCTCCGGTTTCCCCTACCACTAAAAATATGTACAATAGTTCTGGCATGTGCCTCCTGTACTGGCCGCACTCCCAAAAATAACAATTGTAAACCGCTTTGAGACTCCGATGTGCAGTGAAAAGGCGGTATATAAATAAAGATTACTACTACTACTACTACATAAGGAATCCTTGGCTTTGAAGAGTCTTCTTTGTGTCCCGGCTTGTACGTATCTACCATGTCCTTTGCCTTTCGCTCGGTCCCCTGAGGGCCCCCTGAGGCCCCCCCCCCCCGAGGCCCCCTGAGCCTGTAATCACATCAGCTGCAGCGGTGAGCGATAGTCCCACACGCGAACGCCACTAAACCCGATCAATAACCTGTTCAATAATCCAAGGGCCCGCAGCAAGGGATTGTGGGTGATAGGCAGACAGGAGGGGAGGGGGGCAGTGGGGAAGAGTGAGAAAGATCTGGGTCTGTTTAAGTATCTGAAAAATAGTGCTAAAATATAATCACTGTATGTCTTTAAGCTAATCATGATAAAGTACCACATCATCTACAAATAACTCATAATAGTTGTATGTATTTGTTATTACTTTTTTATATATAAATCACTTTGATCAAACCTGTGGGGGCTGGAAAATGTATTTTTTGATGTCACAGATGTCCTAAAGGTAATGCAGAATTAAAGCTTGGGTATCTAACTTTTTCCCCTTTTTCATACTTTATACATGTACTTAATATAGCAGGAGTCAAATGTTATGAATAAATTAGCTAGACACAACAAGCTGCATTAATCTTATTTTGAAAACGCAAAACAAATGTGTAGGAAACAGCCGCTGGAGACGTCCTCATTGACTGTAACTGTTTTTATGATGTGTGAATGGATGCCTCTTGTCCAGGACTTCCTGCGGGCGGCACGGTGGCTGAGTGGATAGCACCCTCGCCTCTCAGCAAGAAGGTCCTGGGTTTGAATCCCAGTTGGAGCAGGGCCTTTCTGAGTGGAGTACTGTACTGGCCTCGCTCCCATCTCTGTGTGGAGTGAGAGACTAATGCCCAAAAATAACAATGGGCTATATGCACAGGGAGGCGTGATGTCACTTCCTGTTTACAGAGAACAGCCCGTTCACTTCCTGTCTATGCTATTCTATGGCTTTTAGGTGAGTTGTAGTGACGTTTTTTAGTAATTAGATTGATACATTCAGCTGAGACTGACCCAAAAGTGTAGCTGTGCTTTCTCTCTGAGGTAGAGCTTTGACTGTGGCCACTCAGGGAGATTAGTTAACTTTATACAAACACAATGACAGCACAATCAAAGAGCACTGCTGTGTCCCAAAAATGCCCAGTATCCTAAAGTTTAATTCCTGTTTGAGCATAATTTGGGAAATTTGTGGCCGTTCCCCGCGAACAGGAAGTGAAGTGGGGTTCTAACTAAAAAGCGGACGTGGTGCGTGCATAGAGCCCATAGTAAACCGTTTTGTGACTCTGGTCTGTGAAAGGCGAAATGTAAATAAAAATAGCTTACTTACTTACTAAAAAGAGGTTTGTTATTCTCAGTAGGACTTTTCTGGTTAAATAAAGGTTGAATAAAAATAAAATAATCTTTTAAAACCCTACTACGTATGATCCAATGTTCATAATAACCAAATAATAAACGGCTTCTCCTTCTGTTCTGATTCTCTTTTTAAGATTTAGTATCAAGTTAGTATTGAAGTTAAAGACCACCCTGCTCAATTCAGCAAATTAGTTTTGTTTACGATCTCAAAGCATGTTTTCATCATCTCTTTTTAGCGAAAACATAAGTGTGGATTTGATTATTTATCGACAGCTAAAGTCCTCCCACGCAGCCTCTGGAACAGAACCCAGCAGCTCCAGCGCTCCCATGATGCAGACTAATGGGCACATCCAGAATCCACACCGAGCACTCCCCAGGGATAATACCCGCTAAATCTGCCCCCGCAGGGACCACAGCGAGGGGAGGGGCTGCAGCGACCGGGGGGGGTGGGGGGTGTAGAGGACATATTTACACAGGTGATATGAAACAACAGTAAGTTAATGAGGGAAAACATGGTTAAATCAAGTAAGGGATCAAAGAGAGAGACCAAGGAGAGGGAGACGAGATCTCTCTCGTCTCCCTCTCCTCCAGAGAGAGACCAGAGAGAGACCAGAGAGAGACCAGAGAAAGACCAAAGAGAGACCAGAGAGAGACTAGAGAGAGACTAGAGAGAGACCAGAGAGATACCAGTGAGATACTAGAGAGAGACCAGAGAGAGACTAGAGAGAGACTAGAGAGAGACCAGAGAGAGACCAAAGAGAGACCAGAGAGAGACTAGAGAGAGACCAGAGAGATACCAGTGAGATACTAGAGAGAGACCAGAGAGAGACTAGAGAGAGACTAGAGAGAGACTAGAGAGAGACCAGAGAGAGACCAGTGAGAGACTAGAGAGAGACCAGAGAGAGACCAGTGAGAGACTAGAGAGAGACCAGAGAGAGACCAGTGAGAGACCAGAGAGAGACCAGAGAGAGACTAGAGAGAGACCAGAGAGAGACTAGAGAGAGACTAGAGAGAGACCAGAGAGAGAATAGAGAGAGACTAGAGAGAGACCAGAGAGAGACCAGTGAGAGACTAGAGAGAGACTAGAGAGAGACTAGAGAGAGACCAGAGAGAGACCAGAGAGAGACCAGAGAGAGACCAAAGAGAGACCAGAGAGAGACTAGAGAGAGACTAGAGAGAGACTAGAGAGAGACTAGAGAGAGACTAGAGAGAGATCAAAGAGAGACCAGAGAGAGACTAGAGAGAGACTAGAGAGAGACTAGAGAGAGATCAAAGAGAGACCAGAGAGAGACTAGAGAGAGACTAGAGAGAGACCAGTGAGAGACCAGAGAGAGACCAGTGAGAGACTAGAGAGAGACCAGAGAGAGACCAGTGAGAGACCAGAGGGAGACCAGAGAGAGACCAGAAGGAGACTAGAGAGAGACTAGAGAGAGACTAGAGAGAGACTAGAGAGAGACCAGAGAGAGACCAGAGAGAGACCAGAGAGAGACTAGAGAGAGACTAGAGAGAGACCAGAGAGAGACCAGTGAGAGACTAGAGAGAGACTAGAGAGAGACTAGAGAGAGACCAGTGAGAGACCAGAGAGAGACCAGAGAGAGACCAGAGAGAGACCAGTGAGAGACTAGAGAGAGACCAGAGAGAGACCAGTGAGAGACCAGAGAGAGACCAGAGAGACCAGAGAGAGACCAGAGAGAGACCATCGAGAGAGAGACCAGTGAGAGAAACCAGAGAGAGAGTCCAGACAGAGACCAGTAAGAGAAACCAGAGTGAAACCAGCGAGAGAGTCCAGAGATAGAGACCAGAGAGAGAGTCCAGAGATAGAGACCAGAGAGAGAGATCCCAAAAAAAGGTGTCTTCTCTCGGCCTTGCCTCTGCACACCAGTCCCTTCCTCTGTCTCCTGAACGCCAGACAAAAGGCATCGACTGTAACCTGAGCTGAGGTTTAGCGTTGCCAGGTTCCAGGGGAGCATCGAGCATGACGGTGAGTGTTGCGGGGCCACCACACTCAGCTCCAGGCTCCTGAGTGTGCACTGCATCTCAAACAGGCCCCGCTCCCCCGCCATTATCCCCAGCCACGAATGAAAGCGAGTCCTGTCTGAGAGTCAAGCCGAGGACACGTGACATCACCCGCAAGAGACGAGAGCGGACTTTTGAACGCGGGTGTAGAGGACATATTTACACTGGCGACATGAAACAACAGTAAGTTATTGAGGGAAAACATGGTTACATCAAGTAAGGGATCAAAGAGAGAGACCAGTGAGAGACCAGAGAGAGACCAGAGAGAGACAAGAGAGAGACCAGACAGAGACCAGAGAGAGATTAGAGAGAGACTAGAGAGAGACCAGAGAGAGACCAGAGAGAGACTAGAGAGAGACTAGAGAGAGACCAGAGAGACACCAGAGAGAGACTAGAGAGAGACTAGAGAGAGACTAGAGAGAGACTAGAGAGAGACCAGAGAGAGACCAGAGAGAGACCAGTGAGAGAAACCAGAGAGAGAGTCCAGACAGAGACCAGTAAGAGAAACCAGAGTGAAACCAGCGAGAGAGTTCAGAGATAGAGACCAGAGAGAGAAACCAGCGCTGGAAACGGCAGTAGTCGATATCCGTTTAAATTTGGCATTTTTCTTGCTTTTTGAATATTGTGAATATTGCTACAGTACAGTGTTCATGGTTTTTATGACGCAATTAGTTTTGGTCTTAAAAACACAAAACGCACAACATGAGAGCTGATTGGCCGAGCGAGCTTCTCTATGTTTCCATTTTCTCTGTGACAGAACCTTTAGATACAAGAGAAAGCTCGTGACGGAACTGGACTGGACTGTTTTTGGGCAAAGTTATGACACAAAGCGAGATTAGATAAAAAATTTAAAAGACATAAAATAATTTCATATGAATAATGACATTTATATAAACTACAAATAGTAGCGGAACAAAGTCGTGTGCTGTAGTTATGGAGACCGAAGGTGTGTGAAAGATTTAAACACATTGTGAAAGTAGAGAGAGAGAAATCAGAGAGGGACAAGAGAGAGACCAAAGAGAGATCAGAGAGAGACACCAGAGAGAGACCAGAGAGAGACCAGAGAGGGATCAAAGAGAGAGACACCAGAGAGAGACCAGAGAGAGATCAGAGAGAGACACCAGAGCTAAAGAGACCAAAGAGAGACCAGAGAGAGAAACCAAAGAGAGACCAAAGAGAGACCAGAGAGAACAGGATGCAACCAGAGAGAGAGAGAGGGAAACCAAAGCGAGACCAGAGAGAGAGACCAGAGAGAAACCAGAGGGAGACCAGAGAGAGACCAGAGAGAGAGACCAGAGAGAGACCAGAGAGAGACCAGAGAGAGACCAGAGAGAGACCAGAGAGAGAGAGAACAAAGAGAGACCAGAGCTAAAGAGACCAAAGAGAGACCAGAGAGAGAGACCAAAGAGAGACCAGAGAGAGACCAGAGAGAACAGGATGAGACCAGAGAGAGAGAGAGGGAGACCAAAGCGAGACCAGAGAGAAACCAGAGGGAGACCAGAGAGAGGGACCAGAGAGAGAGAGATCAGAGAGAGAGAGAACAAAGAGAGACCAGAGCTAAAGAGACCAAAGAGAAACCAGAGCTAAAGAGACCAAAGAGAGACCAGAGAGAGGGAGACCAGAGAGAGGGAGACCAAAGCGAGACCAGAGAGAGAGACCAGAGAGAGACCAGAGAGAGGGAGACCAAAGAGAGACCCGAGAAAGAGACCAAACAGAGCCCAGAGAGAGAGAGAGAGTTTAGAGAGAGACCAGAGACAGAGATCACCAAAAGACCAGAGAACCAGCTTTTTTTTGTTTTTGAGGCCTTTCGGCCGAACACTAAATGTTGTTTTTAAGATAATAATGTTGAAGTGGTGTCGCTGAGATAAAACCATTTGACCTGAAATCAGCAAATGACTCTTCACGCTGATATAAAAGTCACAACTCGGGCGCCAGATAATGAAAGACAAAGAAGCAGCAGAGTTTGAGACAAATACCACATAAGATTTCTTTGTTGCATCCTGTAAAAAAGAAATGTTCTCAAAAAAACCAAACAAAACCTTTTTTTTCTTTTTTTTTTACTCAACCTCAACCACACTTTATTTAACAAAATAGAAGCAGGTCAAATATCGCAAAGCATAAAAATGTAACTTTGAAACACAGATTTTTTTTGAAAAGGATGATAACAAAAAAGTCAGTCGGTGGGCTGTGACACAGTAAGTCAGAGACACACACGCATATAGACCAGACCAGACCAGACCGAGCCAGACCGGGCCAGATCAGACCGAGCCAGACCAGACCAGACGAAACCAAACCAGACCAGACCGAACCAGACCAGGCCAGACTAGACCAGACCGAACCAGACCAGGCCAGACCAGACCGAGCCAGACCAGACCAGATCGGACCAGTCAAAGCCGGACCAAACTAGACCAGACCGAGCCAGACCAGGCCAGACCAGGCCAGGCCAAGCCAGACCATGCCAAACCAGACCAGACCGAGCCAGACCATGCCAGACCAGACCGAGCCCGACCAGACCAGACTGAGCCAGGCCAGACCGAGCCAGACCAGACCAGACTGAGCCAGGCCAGACCGAGCCAGACCATGCCAGACCATGCCAGACCAGACCGAGCCCGACCAGACCGAGCCAGACTAGACCAGACTGAGCCAGGCCATATCCAGAGAGATGTGAGATCACTGGTCAGAGAGCAGGGTAGACACAGAGGACATGGATTGGGAACAGGACACAGAATTGAACGTACAGAATGGGAGGTAGATTATGGAAGTGAAAGAGTTCTGATGTAAACCTGCAAAAATAATCCTGTCCTCGGTCAAACGTATCACACCGGCTCCTTTAAAGCTGGGGTACGTAACTTTATTAAATTTGTTCATAATACATGTATGAACAATAGAAGGCCATGGCATGCGTCTGATTTTAGACACATGTTTCTTGTCTTGTAAAAAGTAAAATGTTGTGAGCCACAATTGGACCTGATTGGCTGAGGGAGGGTGGGTCCTCTCTGTTCCAGGTCTGTCTGAAAAAGCGGATTCAAAAATGTCAAAAAAGCCCAATAATGAGTGAAAGAAGCAGACTGTTGTGACTGAGAGAAAGAAGCCATCGTATGTTGTATGAAAGGCAGGGCAAACTCCGGTCCGTGGGCCAAATTTGGCCGAAAAGCGCTTTTTTAGTGGCCCTTGAGATGATTTACAATGAGCGGTGTTACAGTAACTTGCAGATTGTAATGGGATACTATGGGACCGTTGGAATTTAATCTGTTCTTAAATTGTAACTAAAATTCGAAAAAAAAAAAAAATGATAATTAAAAAAATCCACCTTTTTAGAAACTAGAAATTTACAGAATTTTGCAATTATTGTGTACATTGTTTTAGTTTTTCATATTTTTGTGTCATATGGAAATGTGTAAGTGTTTAAAAAAAAAAGATTACATATAGTTTTGGCTTCAACCAGTTCTCATATTTTTACATTTGACCCCAGACAAATTCTTTTATGGTTTGAAATTCAGGAACCCCAGCTTTAAATGAAGCAACACAACATATTTCTTCGGACACAAAACAAACAGTCTTGTGTGTTGTGTTTACTAACGAGGCTTTTCCTGAATCAAGTTTTTACAAAAAAAAATTCTTTCAGCCCAGCTCTAAAATACCCCTTTAAGTTTCTCTCAGAATTGTGTTGAAAAGTGCACTTTTTGGGTTCACTTAAAAATGACATTATAAAGCTACGGATTGATTACTTCTGGATGCTCTGGAAAAAGGCTGCAAGTCCTAAGTGCTACACTGGTCCAGACCAGAGCAGAGAGGATTCATGGTTTTACACTGGTCCAGACCAGAGCAGAGAGGATTCATGGTTTTACACTGGTCCAGACCAGAGCAGAGAGGATTCATGGTTTTACACTGGTCCAGACCAGAGCAGAGAGGATTCATGGTTTTACACTGGTCCAGACCAGAGCAGAGAGGATTCATGGTTTTACACTGGTCCAGACCAGAGCAGAGAGGATTCATGGTCCGAACCAAGTGGATCAAGTGAACATCCACAGGAGGAATGCTAACTTTTTGAAAAATGCTAATGAACCATTTAGCAATTTACTTTGGCCCAGGGCAGAGAAAATGGTCCGAACCATGAGGCTACTCCACCTCTGCTGCTGTGACCCGTCCTGCTCCACCCAGAGGCTACTCCACCTCTGCTGCTGTGACCCGTCCTGCTCCACCCAGAGGCTACTCCACCTCTGCTGCTGTGACCCGTCCTGCTCCACCCAGAGGCTACTCCACCTCTGCTGCTGTGACCCGTCCTGCTCAACCCAGAGGCTACTCCACCTCTGCTGCTGTGACCCGTCCTGCTCCACCCAGAGACTACTCCACCTCTGCTGCTGTGACCCGTCCTGCTCCACCCAGAGGCTACTCCACCTCTGCTGCTGTGACCCGGCTGTTGCTGATTATTACTATTGTTATCTTTTTATCTGAATTTCTCCGACAGGGATCAATAAAGTATCTCTCCATCTATCTATCTAAGTTTAAAAAAAATATGACCAAAAATATGGCAAAGGCTAAAAATCTACAAATTAAAGACAGATTTCGACTAATGTCAGGGGAGTTCAAGTCTGCCATTTCAAGTATTTGAACCCAAAGTGCACACGACAAGTTTAAATACACGTTGTGGTAAAATAGACCACAATAAACATAATTTCATTCTGGCCTGTGAAGTTTGAAGTTATTAAGTTGTAATTTAAGTTTGACGTTATAGCAATCAATCCATGTATAGAGACTTACACTTGTTTAATTTGAAAGTCAATTATGTACAGACAGAAAAAACAAGATCCACTTTTGTATCGTTAAAGAAATGTGTGACGTGCATGAATTCTCTCGTTCTTCTTGTTTCGAGTCCTTGCCTTTGAGAAGTAATTAACTTTTTTTTGTGTGTTTTCCCGACCCGTATCTATCGCTTTTGTTGTCGTATGAGGTGAAATGTATAAATAATCAAATGCACTTTTCAAGTTTCAGAAGGGATAAACAAGGCGAAAGTTGTAGGTATAGCGTTGTTGTAATGCATGGAGAAAGAAACACAGGGGTTGAAACGGAGGAGGGAGGTGTGACGGGAGAGAGGGAGGACATGGGAGGAATGAGGGAGGAGGGGGGTGTGACGGGAGAGAGGGAGGACATGGGAGGAATGAGGGAGGAGGGGGGTGTGACGGGAGAGATGGAGAGAGGGAGGACATGGGAGGAATGAGGGAGGAGGGGGGTGTGACGGGAGAGAGGGAGGACATGGGAGGAATGAGGGAGGAGGGGGGTGTGACGGGAGAGAGGGAGAGAGGGAGGACATGGGAGGAATGAGGGAGGAGGGGGGGTGTGACGGGAGAGAGGAGAGAGGGATGAGGACATGGGAGGAATGAGGGAGGAGGGGGTTGTGACGGGAGAGAGGGAGGACATGGGAGGAATGAGGGAGGAGGGGGGGTGACGGGAGAGATGGAGAGAGGGAGGACATGGGAGGAATGAGGGAGGAGGGGGGATGTGACGGGGGAGAGGGAGGACATGGGAGGAATGAGGGAGGAGGGGGGACGTGACGGGAGGAGATGGAGAGAGGGAGGACATGGGAGGAATGAGGGAGGAGGGGGGGTGTGACGGGAGAGATGGAGAGAGGGATGACATGGGAGGAATGAGGGAGGAGGGGGGTGTGACGGGAGAGAGGGAGGGAGGACATGGGAGGAATGAGGGAGGAGGGGGGTGTGACGGGAGAGATGGAGAGAGGGAGGACATGGGAGGAATGAGGGGGAGGGAGGGGGGGTGACGGGAGAGAGGGAGGACATGGGAGGAATGAGGGAGGAGGGGGGTGTGACGGGAGAGAGGGAGGACATGGGAGGAATGAGGGAGGAGGGGGGTGACGGGAGAGGAGAGATGGAGAGAGGGGGGACATGGGAGGAATGAGGGAGGAGGGGGGTGTGACGGGAGAGAGGGAGGACATGGGAGGAATGAGGGAGGAGGGGGGGGTGACGGGAGAGATGGAGAGAGGGAGGACATGGGAGGAATGAGGGAGGAGGGGGGTGTGACGGGAGAGAGGGAGGACATGGGAGAGAGGGAGGACATGGGAGGAATGAGGGAGGAGGGGGGTGTGACGGGAGAGATGGAGAGAGGGAGGACATGGGAGGGATGAGGAGGAGGAGGGGGGTGTGACGGGAGAGAGGGAGAGAGGGAGGACATGGAAGGAATGAGCATAAACGTGTTGAGATTAGATTCAGCACCATGGACAGCGCCATAGCTTTACACAGCTTCAGAGGATGCAGAGAAAGGAAGAGAGAGGGGGGGAGGGGGAGGACGAGAGAGAGAGAGGGGGGAGGAGGAGAGGAGGGGGAGACCAGCTCAGACCAACACCACACACCCACGTCTCTGTCCTTCTGGCTAGGGCTGCACGATTAGTCGCAATTGTTGTCGATGGAATTAGAAAATTACACACATTTAGTTTTTGCAATAACTTCACGATTTCAAACAGACACAGAAACTAATTGAACGTTGCATAAATGAGGGAAAAATATTCTTGGTGTATCTGTCTCCAATTTTTAGTATTAGTATTTTTTATTGATGAAGAATATTGGCATTGTTTTTCAAATATTTTTTAAATGTTTTTATTTTTGCTCGGTCCAACTCCCATTGGTAATTCTGCTTTACAATGCAATGTACAACAACACAATTATGTCTAAAATCTGCGTACACAAGTCTCAACCGTTTTCTTTATCGTGTTTTTTGCAACGTTTAGTGATTTTTGCTTTTTTTGCTTTTTCAAATTCAGCTTGTAAAGGTGGACCGTCTTAATTAATGCAGGTTTGAATTAATATTGTAAATAGCATCATAATCATTCTGCTAATCCAAAAACCACAATGTGATATTTTTGCCAGAACCGTGCAGCCCTAGTTCTGGCTCAGTAATCAGTAATTATTGAACACAAACTTTAAACACAGTAGCTGCACATCCACCTTAAATCATCGGCATTTCAGACCGAACCGGAGCTCAAGGGGAACTGGCTTTTGTCTGCTCTGCTCCGCAACAGCCGCTCACGTCACGGTGTCCGGAAACCCCAGCGCAGGAGGGAAAGGCGCAAGTTCATAACGCTAAGAAAAGAAACAAAAACTCAAAAAGGCATCTTGATTTGTGTGGACCCTCACTGTCCCCTGCACGACCTCACCGTTGTGGTAAATACAGTGTCTGATTTGGACAGGATTAGGATGGCTTTACAAAAGCTCACGAAATGATGAGAGTGGATCATAGCCATACGCTTCACAATGTTTTTTTTTCTCCTGCCGATATATAAAAAGCATTCTAGTCTAAGTCTCTGCACCTGCCAAGTCCGGGTAAGAAGATCCGATTCTGGACAATGGGGCAGTGGTTCTCAAACTGTTTGGCTTTCTCTTCAATAACTGTGTATGTCTGTAGTACCTGTGATGTAAACAAAGAAAGGAGAGGCTTCTAAAAGAGCCTGAGTTAAGGGAGATTTAAGACCAACCAGTCTAATAACAGGACACAGCAAAACATGATCAAATATGAGGTATTATTGATTAGATAAAGTGTTGTTGTTATTTTTATCTTAATTTGAGAACATTCTGACCAGAAAGAGACCTGAGAGAGAGAACAGAGAGAGAGAGACTAGATACAGACACCAGAGAGAGAGAGACAAGACACAGAGATCAGAGAGAGACCAGAGAGAGACCAGAGAGAGACCAGAGAGAGACCAGAGAGGAACCAGAGAGAGACCAGAGGCCAGCGAGAGAGACCAGAGAGAGAGACAAGACACAGAGATCAGAGAGAGAGAGACCAGAGAGAGACCAGAGAGAAACCAGAGAGAGACCAGAGCGAGAGCAGAGAGAGACCAGAGAGAGAGACCAGAGAGAGACCAGAGAGAGACATTCTGACTGTATTAAAACCAGATTTGCAAAAAGAGAAAAAGGCGATTTCTTCTTATTTTAAGCTGTATTTTATCATTCCAAGGGAGACATTTCTTGTATATTTTATAAAAACAAAAATTTGCTTTGCTCCTTCTGCAAATCTTTTTTTAAGGTCGTCGGAATGTGCTCAAATTAAGACACATTTAGCACAAATTTTAGCATTATTTGACACATTTGCACACGACCAAACAAAGGACTAGTCATCATTTATATAAAAAAATACTGCTAGATGGCCATCAAGGGTGAACTATTGTAAAATTCATACACTTTCAAGTATGAATTGTTTATATAAAATCAGTTGGAGCTGGACATGATGCAGTAATGTTGATAATAGCTTTGGCCTTTTGTGCAGCATTATAAAAAATCTGTTCAAAGTGAGGACTTTAAATGCACTGTGAGAAATAGGGATTCGCTCTCAACACTGTCTGTCTGCTGCGTTGCAAAAAAAACTGTCGATTATGGACCTGAACGAAAGCAGACTAAGCCAGGACTATTATATTCACGCCATTAGCACAAAACACACAAAACTCCCACATCAAAAACCCTGCATATTTGACAACCACAGTTTGAGAACCCCTGCTTTTTGTCTCCTCAAATTGAACACACATTTGCTCTGTTATTATCTGAAAAAATACCATGGTATAAACCCCCCTGTGTAGATTACATTATAGCTTATGTATGTATATATATATATAGATATTTCTCTTTTTTGTATCCCTTCCTCTCATCCAGAAGCAGGCTATATTCATCGACGCACAAAAAAAACTCACAGAACTCGTTACTGTAGCTACACCACGTCTGCAGCCACGGCATCTGAGTGACGGCTTTTTTGGTCATGCTCATCGGCATGTGTGACGTATCTGCAAGTCAATTGGCACAACCATAAAAGAACGAAAGTTTACATTCAGAAACGGGGTTGATGAGTGCGCGCGACGTGGCGGCTTTTGGGTCTGCGCCATCTAGCGACGACAGGTAGTAAGGTCGGTATAAATATCCCCACGGTAGAAATCATGAAGAACAGAAAGTAACATGCACTGGTTAGCCTCGTTAGCCTCGTTAGCCTTGTTAGCTCGATGGCCAGCCTTGCTTTCTTCCCCGTCTTTTCCCTCAAACAATTCCATAAAACGACAAACACAAATCCTATAACAGCAGGTTCACAAAAAATAGAGAAATGGCACTTTTTGTAATAGTCATATATAATTCTTAATATCTATATATAATGTCATATTGATATAACATGAAAGGTTGTCGGTTATGGTGGGCGTATGGTTCGTCGCGTGTGCCGAAACCATGCTTGCGAATTTTTCTCATGCATGTTTATGTTACAACGGTCCAGCTATGTACAGTACATTCATGCGTTCTCGTGCACCGTTGCGGTCTCACGCCTTCCCGTTTTTTTGTTGGAAAAAATCCAGTTATTTTTGTCGTGTGCCATCCTGCCCTGCCTTTGGGTAAATCCGTCAGTCCCCAGAAGAAGGGGGTAAAGCGAGAAAGAAAGAATGAAAGAAAGCGGTCTTCTCATCTCCCTGGGGATGTTCTTATAATACAGCTGAAAACAAAGTCGTTGCTAGGTTTGTGTGTCTCTCTGTGTCTTTTTGAGTTTGTAATCCCATCGTAGAGTCCAAGGAAACAGGCCTTTTTACGCGTCATTCGTGGAGGAAAGGTGCGTCGTACAATCGAATCCTCTGTGCGCACCCCCGTCCTGATGGTACGCCCCACTGTGCCAGTAGGAGGAGTCGCACACTGTCTGAAGCGAGTTGATTTCGGACGCAGACGAGTTCCCTTCGCGCCGCTTCGACCTCTTCCGGTTGCGCAGAATGAAGACCAGCATCCCCACCACGGTGAACGCGGACGTGACGAAAACTAGCAACAAACCGGGCACCAGCACCGAGATCGAGACGCGGTTGGGCTCCACGTACGAGTTCGACCGCGTGCCCGAGTCTAACGTGTAGGTGCTGTTTTTGGACAGGGAGGTGGGGGCGATCTTGTCGTACATCTTGGGGCACATGAGGTCGTTGCGGACGTAGCGGAAGTCGCGTTTCCAGAACTCCTCGGGCGACTCGCACTTCAGGTCGCTCACGATGACGTCGGCGCCTAGTTTCTCCGTCCACTGCTTGAAGGGCACGATGTTGCACGAGCAATCCCACGGGTTCCCGTGCAAATCGATCTGGATGATTGAGTTGAGCTGGTCCAGGACGCCAGACACGGGGAGATGGGTGAAGTAGTTGTTGTGTAGGCTAATTTTGGACAAGGAAATCCCGTAAAAGGAATCCACGGGTAACGACTTGAGCAGGTTGTTGTTGAGGAACAGAACTCTCAAATTGGGCATGTGGCTGAAGGCGCCCGCCACGACGAGTTGGATGTCGTTGTATTCCAAACTGAGATATTCCAGGTTGACGAGACCCACGAACATCTCGGCCAGCAGTGTATCCAGATAGTTCTTATCCAAGTACAGCCACCGCAGCTCGCTCAGGTTCTGGAAGGTGCCGTTGTCGATGACCTTGATGTTGTTGCCTCCCAGGTCGAGGAGGTTGAGGCTGGTGTAGCCCAAGAGCTGGTTCTTCTTCACCGCGTGGATGTTGTTCTCCCGCATGTTGAGCTCGTGCGCCGGCAGAGGCTTGGGTTTCAGGCTTCCCAGACTCTCGATCTTCTTGCTCTCGCAGTTGACCCCCAGCCCCTGCCTGGAGCCCACTAGCTTGCAGGAGCACGGCTGCGGACACGTCACGTTTTGCGGCGGCGGCTGCTCCCGGTCGCTGCTCATGCTTGTCACCACCGGAGTGGGCTTGGTCTTCAGCTGCCAGTTCTCGCGAGCTTTGGAGTCTTTGCTGGGCTTGTAAGGCGTGGGGCGGGGGTTGTGGGGAGCGCCGGGCTTGGAGGTCTGGTCCTGGGTGGGCGGGGCTACCAGGCTGGTGTCCGCCCCCTCGCTTTGTGACGGGCAAAGCTCCGCCTCCGACGTCTCGTTCAGGTCGCTGCCCTGTAGACGTGTGGGAGCCTCGCACACCACGCGGCCGATCAGAGCGTTACGAGGAATGTTCTCCAGCCATTCCTTCAGTGAAACCAGGTCGCAGTTGCAGTCCCAGGGGTTGTCCTCGAGAAGCACCTCCGCGATGCCCGGGATCTGCTCCAAAATCCCCTCATAAGGCACCGTTTTGATGCGGTTCCCCCTCAGGTCTAAGTGCGTAATGGGCACATGCTGAAACAGGTTGATAGGTAGTGAGCTGATGAGGTTATCGTTCAGAATCAGCACTTCAAGTTTATTTAAGTCCCTGAAAACAGCGGGGTCGAGCTCCCTTAATAGATTAAAATCAGCTTGGAGATATTCCAAGTCGTCTAATCCCAGGAATGTACTCTTCCTGAAAGAGCGGATCTTGTTGTTATTGATGTGCAGCCGTTTGACGAGCTGCAGTCCCAGGAACGCGCCCGGAACGATGTCATGCAAACCGTTGTTTTCCAAATGCAGGCTCACCGCGTTGTAAAAGTTGGCGAACTCGTTTGGAAAGAGCCTGGACAGCGAGTTCCCGTGCAACAGCAGGTGGTAGAACTGCGAGCTGGGACCCGTCAGATGCTGCAGTGTGGTCAGGCTCCTCTTTTCACAGTCTATGTGCACATCGCCCTCGATCTCGTTGCAAGAGCATATCTGCTCCTTACAAACGTCCCTTGTAACATTTCCACTGGCAACACAAAGAGCCGCATTCAGCAGGACAATCCAAAGAAGCATTTTCTTCAGCGTGGGCAATGCATTCCCGCTTTAATACTCACGAGCTGGAGGCTGTGGACGCGCAGAGAGAGCGGCCGTGAGAGCACACAGAGACACGCATCCACGCTGACACGCTCGCCCCGCGTCCGGACTTGGGAGAGGAAAAAAGGTCCACATACAGACGTAGATAGACGTGTCTCTCACAGCGGCGCGTTCCCCGGGGCGGACAGAAGCACCAACGGCACCATGGCTCTCCCCCACCGCGAGAGGCTCATTTAACACTGACCTTGGCGAGAGAAAGAAAGCCAGCAAAGCCTCATACGCTTCTCTGCTGCTGCTGCTGCTGCTGCTGCTGCTGCTGCTGCTGCGTCGGGAGCTGTTCCCTCTCCCCCCGGTGCTGAATTCACACACCCAGTACTGGTCCACATCCCTTCTTTCCTCCTCTCTCCTCTCTGCTCTTTTTTACATTCCCTCCGCTTTGCATTGCTTTGCCTTTATATATTTCCCTTCTCCGTCTTATTTTTCGTCCTCTTCTTTCTCTTCTTTTTTCTTTTTGTTCACATAAAACAGAACGCGCGGATGATCCTTTTCTGTATACGCGGTGCCTCTCGGAAAGAACTGACACCCTCTGCTGAGCTGTGAAAGCGCAAGAGGAGCCGAGGGAGAGCAGGGAGACGGGGGCAATGCCAGGAGCCCAGAGAGAGAAAGAAATCAATCCATGTTTTAAATAAATGTCCAGACTTTTCTCTCTTGTCTGTCTGTTCGCTGGATAGTTTGAGCTTTTGTCCCGTTTCTCACTATTTGGCAAGCTCACAAAAAATAGTCAAGAATATGCGATGATCCTTATAGTCCAGTGCTGTCTTTACGCACCATGGCTGGATGCGTCTCGCTTGGAAAACACTGTTGAATGCGGTAGAAGGAGCACGTCTCCGCTGCTGGCATGCCTCAGAAAGAAAAAAAAAAAGCACAACAAATGATGCGTCAGTGCGCGGAACGTAACCTGCGCATGTGTGTGTGTGTGGGGAAAGTCTGTGCCGTTATCTCGCTGCGTAATTTGGAGAATAAAAAGCGAAGCCCACGAAAAGCAGGGGATATTACACCGATGTCCTGCGCGTGTTTTCGGCTGCTCCTCTTTTTGGAATGCATGGAGTTTGAGGGAGTTATTTTTTTTCCTCTCTCACGCAGCTCACGCAACGCGCCATTCGCCCCCTCCCCACCGCTTCATCTGCAGTGGAATTAAGAGGAGGGCAAGCGAAGCAAAAAAAAAAAGAAGTGGGAAGTTAAATATGCCTCGTCGCTGAGAGCTGACATCACGTCGAGGAGCGGAGGAGACGCTGGAGGAGACGCTGGAGGAGACGCAGGACTTATTAGGACGCGCCTGGGACTGCATGGGTTGGACTCCACGTGTCCACGGTCTGTCTGGGTCTGGGACTGGGTCTCACCTGTTGGGTCTGAAAAGCAGTTCCAGTCTGAAAATGTCTCGTAATGGCAGACGTATGTGCCCGCGTGATTATAGCTGTTCACACACGCACCGCAAATCAAAGCACCCGTACACACACACACGCACGCACGCACACACACACACGCCTACACACGCACGCACACGCACACACGCACGAGATGTACAGGCTGCAGTGAAACTTGTTACGATCCCAGAAGTTCCAAGGCAGAATGTCTGACTAGTTGGCTGCAGGCAAGAGATTTTTTGGTCCATCTATTCTATTCCTATGAGAGAGACAGACAGAGAGACAGAGAGAGAGAGAGAGACAGAGAGAGAGAGACAGAGAGAGAGAGAGACAGAGAGAGAGAGACAGAGAGACAGAGAGAGAGAGACAGAGAGACAGAGAGAGAGAGACAGAGAGAAAGAGACAGACAGACAGAGAGAGACAGACAGATAGAGAGACAGAGAGAGACAGAGAGAAAGAGACAGACAGACAGAGAGAGACAGACAGATAGAGAGACCGAGAGAGAGTTATGCATACAGTCAGATAGAAAGAGACGGAAAGAGACAGACATAAGATAAGAGATTAGAGTTCCTTTATTCCTCCCACAGTGGGGAAATTTCGGTGTTGCAGCGCACAGACAGGACAGTAGTAAGAGCACACAGGGAGCACACAATATACAAAATAAGTAGTAGCTGTAGACAGAGACAGATAGACAGGCAGGAGACAGAGAGAGACAGAGGGAACAAAAGAGACAGAGACAGACGCAGATGTACAGAGTTATGCATACATACAGTCAGATAGAAAGAGATGGAGAGAGAGAGGCAGGAGAAAGAGAGAGAGAGAGAGAGGCAGGAGACAGAGAGAGAGGCAGGAGACA